CCCCAAAACCCCAAAACCCCAAAACCCCAAAACCCCTCAAAAATATTTTCTAGATTATTATAAACATGGATTTCCACGAGAGCAGATATTATCAAAGGCGTGCCAGAGGCAGAGGAAGAGGCAGAAGAGGGTACAGAGGGTACCGAGGAGCTCATAAACACAGCTTCAGACCCTCCACTACTCACAATTATGACACAATTTCATGCAAAACCCATCATGTTGAAGAAAACAGGCTTATTGATACAAACCCTGACCATCATAAGGGCTGGAAGAAATATTCTGCAACTAAGAAAGTTCTGGATAAGTCCAAAAAAGAAGAGGACATTATCAGCATCCAAAGCGAAACTCTTGGCACGAGGGACCATAGGCAGGGACAATATAATAATGAATGGGAAAGTCAGGAAGATAAGCTTACTAATTCCTTAAAGAAAACCAACAGAAAACAGCACAAAAATAAGAGGAGAAACATTCTTTCGGATAAGAACCATGAAAAGACTAAGGTTAACGAAAATATCTCCTTAAATGGTAACAGATCTAACACTTCTCTAGCAAGTGATTTAACTAAGAACTCCCAAAGTGAAGGATTCGCTAAACCTGAGGACTCTAAGGTAGTTTCACAGAGGATTTCTAGTCCGAAGAAGAAGGAAAATGATACTAAACTGAAGTCTGAGAAGGATACCAAGGCTAAATTGTCTAAGAAGCCAACACGTCCTTTTATTCCTAAAGACCGGAGGTCCTCTAATATACTAAGCAGTAGTTATTTTCAGCTCAAATTCCAGATGGAAAGTAAAGAAATTGCCAAAAGTATCCGCTGTGATCTGTTGAAAAACCCAGATAAGAGCCGTGAAACAGTTGTAATAGGCCCGTCAGATACCATAATAGGGATTGAAATATCCAAAATTCTTGATTCAATCATCTCAGAGATAAAGACTGATCTTGACTTGGGATTTGCCTTACATCTGTATATAAAGGAGGTGCTCCAAAACCTAATTCAAGAGGGAAAGCTATTCAGAGAATTCTTGTCCTCCACTTTAAATTAATTATTTCGAAAAATAAATTGTATAAAGCCAGTGAACCAGAGAATCTATATTCTCGTTAATTATATATTTCAACTAAATTCATTAAAACAGGGGTTTTGGGGTTTTGGGGTTTTGGGGTTTTGGGGTTTTGGGG